TCCATCTGCCGCCCGTCGTTTCTTCAGCTGCAAGCGGGATTTCTGCTCATCGCGCTGTCGGCGAAATCCTCCGTCTGCGCCTTGATCTTGCCAAGCGCATTGGCAGTGGCTGTGCGGAACTCCTCTGCCGGCAATTCGACTCGGTCGGCAACTTCTTCTTTGTCACCGTCGGTGAGGTCCACAAGCTCATTGACATCAAGCGTGTCATTCGGGCCCAAGTGGAGCTCAAACTTTCCGTCCATGATGGCCGCCAAATTGACCTTACTCGCATCAACTTGGGTGACACTTGAGCCGATGATAGCTGTGTGGGCCTCCTGGGCCGCCTGTCGGTACGTTTCTTCTTGTTGCTGGACCTGGGGGAGGACTTCCTTGATCTGTTGCGCTTGCCGCTCCAGGTAATCCTTAATTTTGTCATGTTGGCCCACCAATTTTGCGAGCTTTCCAACTGTTTGAACGCTCGGTTCGGTTCGTTGGCCCGCTGCTGTGCTATATGGGCGGGAGGGGCAGGGGCGTCAGCTGAATTTGCACGGTATACGTCCGCTGCCTTCTGGTCGCCAACCTTCTCACATAACGCAACCAATTGGAGAAACTCTGCATTGGAAATGGTAGTGTCTCCATTGTCACGGAAGAGGGGATGCCGCCATGGCCTGCTCGGCGAAGCTGGGGCTTGAGCCTCGGGAGTGGCTGCCTGGCCAAGTTGGCGCGTAAGTCGATGTTGGCCCCACATCCTTCCAGCTCTCACTGCGATTCTTGAACCACGTCCAGGGCCGCAGGTTTTTCGCTCAGCCGCAGGACCCACAACGTCAAACTCCACGAGGCTTATACCCACCAGGAACAAGCGCCATGGCCTGGCCAAGCCGACTCTTGGTGTAGTCGTCTTGGGGAATGCTCCAGCAGGAGCTCACAAGCGACGAAGCGCCTCGTCTGACCTGGCAGGCCGTCGCCCCCCCTTGCCAGAAAGGTCAGGTCCTGAGCCGAATCGCTACGAACTTGAGCCAAAATGGCTACGGCCTCCTCCTCCTCCTCCTCCTCCTCTTTCTTTTCCTCCCCCTCCTCCTCCCCTGTGGTTTCTGTGGTTTCTGCAAGAGGGGCACGTCGTGCAAGCGCAGCCTACCCCTGAAAGGAACAAGGAAGGGAGACTGCGCCCCTTCCTCGGCGCCTGGGCGGCGCGCCTGAGCGTACTGCTTCCCGTGCTGGCCGTACTTCGACGACAACGCGTCGGGCGGCGCTCTCTCTCTCTCTCTCTCTCTCTCTCTCTCTCTCTCTCTCTCTCTCTCATCTCTCTCTCTCT